GAGTTGTCTACAATTGACCTTTTTCAGGTTCTGAGGATTGGTCAAACCCAGGCCCTCCTTGGCGTTATAGAAACGAGTGTCCTTAGGCTGGTTAAGAAAAATAGTCTGGTCTGTTTGGTCTCTCTTGGCTAACAGGTCTTCAAGTTCTTTGATTTTAGCGTAAAGAGCACCCCTTCTTTCCATAAGTAAATTGTTTACACCAAAAAGTCTAATTCTCTCTTTCTCAGTAGTTCTAAGTTTCTCTGTTAATTCCTTCTCGCTAGTGCTAAGTCTTTTATTCTCAGCAGTGAGCTTAGTGATGATTTTCTCTGAATTGATACGTAGTCTGTTATACACACTAAATCCCGTATTAAATTTTTCTTCAAGCTCCTTAATTCTATCGTGTGGGTCAGTTCTAGAGCAAGTATAAGCAAAAGGATTAGAAGTGCTTACAGCGCTGTCTGCATTCTTGTTTTTAGCAGAGAGGGCAGTCACTTTGTCAGCAGCGGTTGGGGTAGTCATGATTGATTGTTGAATGTTGATCGTTGACGTGTGGTTGATTGAAGTTTTTCTGCAGGTTAGTGGCTCTTGAAAATGTAGCTTTGATTTTGAGAAAAATTAGTCTTAACCTTGAGATTTATTATTATTATTTTTTATTAATTATTATTATTATTATTTTTTTTTTAAATCTCAAGGTTGACTATTTGAAGCTTTGAAAAAGTGTTGAGCTTTGGTTTTGGAGTTTGACCTCAAGGTTTAAAGATGGGCTAAAAAAAATGCACTTGAAGTGGGTTTTGGGGAAAAAATGTACTTGTCCAAGTGAAGGGAAAAGTAAGCTAGTTAACTTATCCCATACCTAAACTCTTTGGAAACTTTTGAGCCTATTTATATGGAGCACTCCTTCCTTAAGATTAAATGGTGAAGGAAAAGAGAGGAGCTCTCGCGCACACGGGATTTCGGCTTGAAGTTCAAAAACGAAAAATCCGCACCCCCCCTGCGCGGGCGACCTGCGGACACGATAGTCGCAGAATTCGCCGGGTCTCAAAAGACGATTTTGCCCTTTTTTATATTTTTTTTTTTAAAGTAAATTTGTGTTTCCTTTATCACACAAAACGCGCAAGTAAAGAAACAACGGCAGGAATAATCAAATCGCGCAAGTTTCGCGCAGCACCTGGATCGCGCAAGAGACTGTTTCGCGCAACTTCAGAAACTTCGCGCAGGTGGTGATCGCGCAACGCTTCTGGGATCGCGCAATAGAGTACCCGGATCGACGCTGGGATCGCGCAGGTCTGTACCCGGATCGCCCAACCGAGTAATCGCGCAACAATGAAGGTTCGCGCAACACCTGGATCGGGCAAGACCTTTCGCGCAAGGGTAATATCGTGCACACTGGTTTGCGCAACTGGAGAATCGCGCAGGTCGTTTCGCGCAAAGGGAAAATCGCGCAGCTTGGCGATCACGCACCTCGTTTCGCGCACAACCTGTGAATCGCGCAAGTGTTTAATCGCTCAAGTAGAGTTGCGCAAAGATGCAGGATCGCTCAACTCCTGCTTAACCTGTACGCCAAAGTTCTGGATGCGATTTTTCACTGAATGAAACCTTGCAAGCCTAGAAACACTTTCCTGTAAACATTTTTCTGCAAAAATAACAACAAAAATAATATACAAGATCGCGCACAAGGCAGAAAAGTGCCGATAAAAAATCGCGCAAGTCCTGTTCTTCAACTTCAATAGATCGATCAGTTGCAGAAACTTCAATACGTCACACGCTCGGCTCTGATACCAATTGTTGGTCCCTATTTCTACTCTATAATGTATAAGATCTGATTAATAGGAGTAGAAGAAGCTTTCCATTGATAGCCAGAAAGTTTACATAAAGATGAAGAACATGTAGCGTAAAACTTCCGTAGGCTTCTAGTCTATGCGCAGGGAATTTTTCTAAGGGAGGAAAGCTTAACCTAGCCATTCCTAAGGGGTCTATTTATAGCCTCCTTAGAATGGTAGGTTTTACAATGATATGGGCTCTCCTTTTTAGGAGGCCCATTCCTAAATTAGCTTAGTAGCCTTTTACATTTAAGGCCTATTAAATACACAATAAATACTACCAAGAGACTAGATAAAATACATTGATCACAATACTAAAAATATCTCTAACACAAATTATGTATAGAAAAAAATGATACGTGTATTCAGTGTTTTCGCGTTTACTAAATCAACCGAGTCACGGAGATTGGCCTAGATTGTGCATACGACAACGAAATTTGGATTTTCGAGTTGCATTGGGTTCCTATATCATAAATACACATTTCTCCTTCAGGACTCAAGTCCAAATTATGTATAGAAAAAAAAAGATACATGTATTCAGTGTTTTCGCGTTTACTAAATTAACCGAGTCACGGAGATTGGCCTAGATTGTGCATACGACAACAAAATTGGGATTTTTGAGTTGCATTGGGTTCCTATATCATAAATACACATTTCTCCTTCAGGACTCAAGTCCAAATTATGTATAGAAAAAAAGATACGTGTATTCAGTGTTTTCGCGTTTACTAAATCAACCGAGTCACGGAGATTGGCCTAGATTGTGCATACGACAACGAAATTTGGATTTTCGAGTTGCATTGGGTTCCTATATGTTAAATACACATTTCTCCTTCAGGACTCAAGTCCAAATTATGTATAGAAAAAAAAAGATACGTGTATTCAGTGTTTTCGCGTTTACTAAATTAACCGAGTCACGGAGATTGGCCTAGATTGTGCATACGACAACGAAATTTGGATTTTCGAGTTGCATTGGGTTCCTATATCATAAATACACATTTCTATTTCAGGACTCAAGTCCAATATATGTATAGAAAAAAAGATACGTGTATTCAGTGTTTTCGCGTTTACTAAATCAACCGAGTCACGGAGATTGACCTAGATTGTGCATACGACAACGAAATTTGGATTTTCGAGTTGCATTGGGTTCCTATATGTTAAATACACATTTCTCCTTCAGGACTCAAGTCCAAATTATGTATAGAAAAAAAAGATACGTGTATTCAGTGTTTTCGCGTTTACTAAATTAACCGAGTCACGGAGATTGGCCTAGATTGTGCATACGACAACGAAATTTGGATTTTTGAGTTGCATTGGGTTCCTATATCATAAATACACATTTCTCCTTCAGGACTCAAGTCCAAATTATGTATAGAAAAAAAGATACGTGTAGTCAGTGTTTTCGCGTTTACTAAATCAACCGAGTCACGGAGATTGGCCTAGATTGTGCATACGACAACGAAATTTGGATTTTCGAGTTGCATTGGGTTCCTATATGTTAAATACACATTTCTCCTTCAGGACTCAAGTCCAAATTATGTATAGAAAAAAAGATACGTGTATTCAGTGTTTTCGCGTTTACTAAATCAACCGAGTCACGGAGATTGGCCTAGATTGTGCATACGACAACGAAATTTGGATTTTCGAGTTGCATTGGGTTCCTATATCATAAATACACATTTCTATTTCAGGACTCAAGTCCAATATATGTATAGAAAAAAAGATACGTGTATTCAGTGTTTTCGCGTTTACTAAATCAACCGAGTCACGGAGATTGACCTAGATTGTGCATACGACAACGAAATTTGGATTTTCGAGTTGCATTGGGTTCCTATATGTTAAATACACATTTCTCCTTCAGGACTCAAGTCCAAATTATGTATAGAAAAAAATGATACGTGTATTCAGTGTTTTCGCGTTTACTAAATTAACCGAGTCACGGAGATTGGCCTAGATTGTGCATACGACAACGAAATTTGGATTTTCGAGTTGCATTGGGTTCCTATATCATAAATACACATTTCTCCTTCAGGACTCAAGTCCAAATTATGTATAGAAAAAAAAAGATACATGTATTCAGTGTTTTCGCGTTTACTAAATTAACCGAGTCACGGAGATTGGCCTAGATTGTGCATACGACAACAAAATTTGGATTTTTGAGTTGCATTGGGTTCCTATATCATAAATACACATTTCTCCTTCAGGACTCAAGTCCAAATTATGTATAGAAAAAAAGATACGTGTATTCAGTGTTTTCGCGTTTACTAAATCAACCGAGTCACGGAGATTGGCCTAGATTGTGCATACGACAACGAAATTTGGATTTTTGAGTTGCATTGGGTTCCTATATCATAAATACACATTTCTCCTTCAGGACTCAAGTCCAAATTATGTATAGAAAAAAAAGATACGTGTATTCAGTGTTTTCGCGTTTACTAAATCAACCGAGTCACGGAGATTGGCCTAGATTGTGCATACGACAACGAAATTTGGATTTTCGAGTTGCATTGGATTCCTATATCATAAATACACATTTCTATTTCAGGACTCAAGTCCAATATATGTATAGAAAAAAAGATACGTGTATTCAGTGTTTTCGCGTTTACTAAATCAACCGAGTCACGGAGATTGACCTAGATTGTGCATACGACAACGAAATTTGGATTTTCGAGTTGCATTGGGTTCCTATATGTTAAATACACATTTCTCCTTCAGGACTCAAGTCCAAATTATGTATAGAAAAAAATGATACGTGTATTCAGTGTTTTCGCGTTTACTAAATTAACCGAGTCACGGAGATTGGCCTAGATTGTGCATACGACAACGAAATTTGGATTTTCGAGTTGCATTGGGTTCCTATATCATAAATACACATTTCTCCTTCAGGACTCAAGTCCAAATTATGTATAGAAAAAAAAAGATACATGTATTCAGTGTTTTCGCGTTTACTAAATTAACCGAGTCACGGAGATTGGCCTAGATTGTGCATACGACAACAAAATTTGGATTTTTGAGTTGCATTGGGTTCCTATATCATAAATACACATTTCTCCTTCAGGACTCAAGTCCAAATTATGTATAGAAAAAAAGATACGTGTATTCAGTGTTTTCGCGTTTACTAAATCAACCGAGTCACGGAGATTGGCCTAGATTGTGCATACGACAACGAAATTTGGATTTTTGAGTTGCATTGGGTTCCTATATCATAAATACACATTTCTCCTTCAGGACTCAAGTCCAAATTATGTATAGAAAAAAAAGATACGTGTATTCAGTGTTTTCGCGTTTACTAAATCAACCGAGTCACGGAGATTGGCCTAGATTGTGCATACGACAACGAAATTTGGATTTTCGAGTTGCATTGGATTCTCGCGTTTGAGGTTCTTCACGCCTGCTAGCTCGATTCTTCATTTTCGTCCATTAATCTTGCTATTTGAGATTGGATATTGGTTTCTTTACATTCCAAACTTAGTTGGGGTGTAAATTCTCCAATTATCTAGCTTGAACTTCGGATTTCTGGACTGCTTTTGCTTAAGTACACACTCGGATTTACTGTTCACGCAGGCAGGTCAACGCCTCTCTCTCCATTTCCTCTTGATCAATCTTTGATTGGGAGGTGATTTTAGCTTCTATTTGGTGTGAGGATTAAGCAAATATACTTATTTCAAACATCAAGGCAAGTTGATTTTCCCATCTTCACCAACGGCTCTTTCCTTTCCTGTACACCGAAGCTTCAAAGACGAAACCGTACTCATGGTTACTTAGAAGAAGTGCTGTATCCAAGCTCCCTCTTGTACTCATGTCTACTAAAAAAAAGAAGGATGTGATGGCACCTACTAAATCTTCATCTCGGCTCAAGGCTAAGCAAAACAGGGACACCGACGAAATTATTCAGATAACTGCGCAGGACAAAGCAGACTCAGTACAACTTCAACAAAAGACATCACTAGACCACGTACTGGATGGGGTCTCCTCTACTGTTCTGGAACCTATCCTGGAGGTTTCTTGTGAAGAGGATGTCCAGTCCTTGGACACAAATGTGGAGAATACTCATGTCAGCAAGGATGTAATTCTGGAGGTAACATCTGCACCCCAAAATGATGGCTTAGGCATAAACATTGATGAGGAGGCTCTTATACCAATTTTAGATGATAATTCTCTTGAGCATGTGGTTGTTGAGGAAGGGGAATATGTACTTGATCCTAGTGTGAAGGAACTCTTGGAAAAGGAGGCAGCTGAAGCTCTGCAAATAACTGAACAAACTGAGGTGGCACAGGTCAATGAAACTAATGGTGTTATTGTGCCGGTGGTAAACAAGGCCGCGACTTTACCTGCCAGCCAGACCGCGCCACTACTTGCCAGCCGGACCTCGGCATTACTTCCCAGCCAGGCCGTGGCAGTACCCAGCCAAACCGTGGCATCACATAGCCAGGCCGCGGCATTATCTCGCCAGCCTGCGGCATTACCTTGCCAGGCTGCGGCTTCACATTCTGCCAGGGAGATTGCAGTCTTGGGCGAAAACAAATGGGGGAAACCTGGCTCTAAACCCTCATTTGTTTCACTTTTTAAGGACAATAGGGAACCCGATAAAGGTATGAAACTAAGGTATATCGAGCCTAAAGGAGACATCATTGACTTATCTACCCGGGTACTACCATCCATGATTGCTATTTGGGGTCATTGTCTTGTTGGTTATTTTGATAATGGCTACCCCGGTTACAAGAATTTGCAAATCCTTGTGCAAAAATGGGCTGTCCCAACACGGTTTAGGAGCCACGATAAAGGGTGGGTTATATTCAAGTTCCAAAATGAGAAAGATAGAGCTAAAGTGCTCATGGAAGGGCCCTATACTTTGTTTGGCAAGACATTTCCATTGAAATTGCTTTCGGATGATTTCTCTATGAATGATGATGAATTCCTTAAAGTGCCTATTTGGGTACAATTCCCACATCTTCCAATGAGAATATGGGAGGAAGACATCATTAGTGAAGTGGCATCAAAGGTTGGCATACCTTTAACTACGGATAAAGTTACACTTGAGAAAGCTAGATCTAACTTTGCAAGAGTTCTAATTGAAGTTGATGCCTCCAAACCGCCCCCACTTGAACTCAAAATCAAGTTACCAAATGGCAAGCTACACACACAATATGTGAGGTATGAGACCTTTCCAAATTATTGCTTTAATTGCAAAGAGTTTGGGCATCATGCTTTTACATGTCCTATTATTGCCGAGATTGAAAGGAAAGAAAAGGAAGAAGCTATAAGGAAGGGCAAAGGCATTATGGTGCAAGATGGGGAGCCCGAGAGGAATGCAAAAACAGTGACCGAAAAAGAAGTAGAGGGTGCCGATGGGGCTGCCAAAACAGTGACCGAAAGGGTGGAAATTGAAGAAGATAGTGATCTTTTTGTCACTAAAAGAGATCATCCCTTCTTTAAGAGATTTCGGTTTTTTAAATGGGGAAAGAAGAAGCCTATAAGAGGTGAGGGTGGCACATCCGATTTCAAGGATGGTGATGATGTACTTATCCGTAAAGTACAAAAATTTCATGATACATACCAAGATGAGGTGATAGTTCAAATGGAAACCGAGGAGGTGCTCATGCCTAGTATCAATGTTACACACATGAAACATGTAGATAAGGATGCTACTATTATCAAGATGGACCATCATCTCAAGATAGTAAAGGAAGATCAACCCGGAATGCTTTTCACCAAACAATGCCTTGAAGATCTTCCCGGAATAACAACAAGAGACAAAGAATATACCTTTGATTCCTCCTTTATGAGGGCTGTTTTTAGACACTATTTGTGCCGGTATTATGAAGAGGGCTGCCCGAGGGGAAAAGCATCACTTGTGAAACGGCCAAGTATGAAAGACTTTGACAAAGTACGTGTGGTGAATGATATTAGGGATGCATACCGTGATGATGTCATTGTTAAGCTTGAACTTGGCAAAGATAATCTACCTTTGATTCACCTACTACATTCCGGTGAAGTTAAAGATCAAATGGTGCGGCTTGATAACTACTTGAGAGTCACCCAAGATGAGCTTACCGAGGGACTCACATTCACGACCAAATGCTTGGAGGCTATCCCGGGAGTCTTTGATACGGAATATGGGTATGAATTTAACTCTTGGTTTATTGAATATCCATATACTTTGTTATATCTTACTAGGTATAAAGCAAGAGCTAAGCCGAGCCCTATCGTTGAAAAAAATGAGGTGAGGCCGAGACACCAAGGGAAGAAAGGAGGGAGGAGGAACAACAACAAAAGGTCTTGATGATTGTGTCCGCATGGAATATAAGAGGCCTCAATAAGGTCTCCAAACAAAACTCTATCCTTAAGTTTATTCGCACTAATAATATTCATTTGTGTTGTCTTCTTGAAACCAAAATGACTACTACTAATTTTGTTAATTTTAGTTCAAATAGATTACCTTCTTGGCTATCTATTACTAATTTTGACAAAATTGATGGTGGCCGTATTGGCATAATTTGGGACCCACATTTTGTTCATATTAATGTACTTGAAATTGATAAACAACATGTGCATCTTAGCGCCACATGTAAGGTTACTCAAATTGAGTATCTTGTTACTTTTGTGTATGCTCTCTACACGGTTCTCAATAGAAAAACCCTTTGGGATCATCTAGCAAACTTGGAGCCTACCATTAATAGCCCTTGGCTAGTAATGGGAGACTTTAATTGTGTTGGATGCCCGAATGAGAGAGTGGGTCCTACCCCTCCCTCGGCTTATAACATGCAACATTTAAATGATTTTAAAGTGCAAACTAATCTTGTTGATTGTCCATCCACGGGCCAATTCCTTACTTGGAATAGGGGCTCGCTTTGGGCTAAACTAGATCGAGTTCTCATTAATTCCTTTTGGTCAACTTTGGATATTGAGTGCAAAACACATTTTCATGACTTCGAACTTGAATCCGATCATGTAGCTTCCATGGTTTCCATTGGGAAAACTTGTGGGGCTGCCTCTCGGCCATTTAAATTTTTTAATATGTGGCTAAACCACGAAAATTTCAATGCCATCCTCACTACCCATTGGGATAGAGAGGTTTATGGAAGTTCTCAATTTATTTTAGCCAAGAAATTGAAGGACCTTAAAAAACCACTTAGGGAACTCAACAAACTTCACTTTGGCCACATTTCCGAAAGAGTTAAGGACTCCAAGAAAGAGTATAAAAGGCTCCTTGGGCTTTCTATACTCTCTCCTTTGGATGAAACTATAAAGGAAGAACTTTTATTGATTAAGAAAAAACTTCTTAACCTTAAAGTAGCCGAAGAAGATTTCTTTAAGCAAAAGGCCAAGGCAAATCATCTTGTTCAAAGTGATAAATGTACTAAATACTTCCATGCTATTGTGAAAAAGAATATGGCTAGAAATTCCATTACGGCTTTAAAACTCCAAAATGGGATTTCTACCACTTCTATTGACCAAGTTGCTACGGAATTAGTGAATTTTTATACTAATTTATTTGGTGCCTACTACCCCACTTCCGGGTTGGACCCCTCTGTGGTGGCCTCGGGTAGATGTTTACCCGCCTCTGCCACTCCTGGCTTGGTTGCTCCTATCACCGATTTGGAAATCAAAGAGGCCTTGTTTGATATTGGTGATAACAAATCACCGGGGCCGGACGGTTACACATCCGCGTTTTTTAAAAAAAAATGGAACACCGTTGGTTTTGACTTTACTAGGGCCGTGAGGGGCTTCTTTGGCTCTGGCAGGTTATTAAAGCAAACTAATCATACGGTTATTGCTTTAATACCTAAGACCAATCACTCTCCCACACCGGCGGACTTTAGACCAATTGCTTGTACTAACGTGGTCTACAAAGTCATTACCAAAATTATTTCTAAGAGGATGATCCCGTGTCTACCGGACCTCATTGACCACGCCCAAGGGGCGTTTGTTGATGGAAGACTTATGATTGATAATGTCTTCGTTGCACAAGAATTGATTAAGGGATACTCTAGGAAACGTGCATCTCCTAGATGTATGATAAAGGTTGACCTCCGGAAAGCCTACGATACTATATCCTGGGATTTCCTGGCTGCCATGTTAACCCATTTGGGCTTCCCGGGCAGATTTATACATTGGATTATGGAGTGTGTCACCACACCTTCCTATTCCATATCTATTAATGGGGTGCTTCACGGCCACTTTGAGGGTAAGAGAGGGCTTCGGCAAGGGGATCCTATGTCCCCCCTCTTATTTGTCCTTTGCTTGGAGTATTTTTCCAGATTGTTGAACATTAGGACCAAAAATCCTATGTTTAAACATCACCCCCTGTGTGGATCCCTTAACATATCACATGTGGCATATGCTGATGATTTGATGCTTTTTTCTAGAGGGGATACCACATCTATACAGATTCTCACACAGGCCCTGGAAGATTTTGGTAACATATCTGGCCTTAGGGTCAACTATGATAAATCAAATATCTTCCTTGGTGGTAATGCATATTATGACCTTGACACTATACTAGAACTGGTGGATTTCAAAATTGGTACATTCCCGGTCAAATATCTAGGGGTCCCCCTGGCACCCTTAAAATTATCTGTGGCCCAGTATGCACCACTTTTGGAGTCCATAACTACTTTCATTAATGCTTGGAGTATTAAGTCTTTATCTTATGCAGGCAGAGTTGAGCTGATAAAGTCAGTTATACAGGGAGTGCACTCTTTTTGGTTACACATGTTTCCCATCCCTAATGTTATTCTTGATAGGATTACATCCATCTGTCGCATTTTTCTTTGGGGAAGCAAATTCGCTAGGGTTGCCTGGGCTGATATTTGCCTCCCTAAAGAAGAGGGTGGACTTGGCATACACGACACGAAAGTTTGGAATAAGGCTTTACTTTCAAAAACTTTTTGGGATATACATACTAAAAAGGACACACTTTGGGTCAAGTGGGTCCATGGGGTTTATCTCAAGGGTAGGTGTGTGTGGGAGTTTGTCCCACACGAAAGAGATTCACAATTGTTTAAAAAGATTGCACAAATCCGAGATGAAATACTCTCCAAATTCCAGGACATCCCGAGTGCTATACTTGGCTTAAGTGCTTTTCAAATGAATGGTAAGCTTGTATCCTCCAAGGTTTATGATTTGCTTAGGCCTAGGGCTGCCACCCGAGTGTGGATGCCGTTTATTTGGAAAGACTACATCCCTCCCAAGTTTTCCTTTGTTACTTGGTTGGCATTCCGTAACAGATTAGCCACGTGTGATAATCTTCATAGATTAGATGTGGATAATACTTGTGTATTGTGCAAGGGTGGACCGGAAACGGTTCCACACCTCTACTTTGAATGTTTTTTTTCAGGAAAAGTTTGGGCTATGATGAAAGCATGGATTGGCATTCCACGAATGATGGGGACCCTAGCTAGTGCGGTCAAATGGATCAAGAAGGAAAGGAGTGGAGCTAGTGTACGAGCCAAGGCTGCCAGGATTGCTTTCTCGTGCACCATATACTCGCTTTGGAGAGTCAGGAATGCAGCTCGATTTGATGATTTTTTGCCAAAGGAGGAGGAAGTTTTTGCCAGGATTCAATATGTTGTCTATAAAATTCTGTATTGCATCTATCCTTATGATTTGGTAGTACTTTGATAACTTTTCGCCCATCACCTATTTTTGTTTGTGATAGGCCGTGAGGTAGTATAGGGGGGGCTGCCATGGCACCCTTATTTTTGGCAGGTGATGGGTTATCCAATATTTGGATAGCCTACATTTTTGCTCATATTCTTTGCTGTACAGACGAACTATTGACGGTTTTTTCTTTTTCTAATATACTTACATGTTATCGTCGAGTTGCATTGGATTCCTATATCATAAATACACATTTCTATTTCAGGACTCAAGTCCAATATATGTATAGAAAAAAAGATACGTGTATTCAGTGTTTTCGCGTTTACTAAATCAACCGAGTCACGGAGATTGACCTAGATTGTGCATACGACAACGAAATTTGGATTTTCGAGTTGCATTGGGTTCCTATATGTTAAATACACATTTCTCCTTCAGGACTCAAGTCCAAATTATGTATAGAAAAAAATGATACGTGTATTCAGTGTTTTCGCGTTTACTAAATTAACCGAGTCACGGAGATTGGCCTAGATTGTGCATACGACAACGAAATTTGGATTTTCGAGTTGCATTGGGTTCCTATATAATAAATACACATTTCTCCTTCAGGACTCAAGTCCAAATTATGTATAGAAAAAAAAAGATACATGTATTCAGTGTTTTCGCGTTTACTAAATTAACCGAGTCACGGAGATTGGCCTAGATTGTGCATACGACAACAAAATTTGGATTTTTGAGTTGCATTGGGTTCCTATATCATAAATACACATTTCTCCTTCAGGACTCAAGTCCAAATTATGTATAGAAAAAAAGATACGTGTATTCAGTGTTTTCGCGTTTACTAAATCAACCGAGTCACGGAGATTGGCCTAGATTGTGCATACGACAACGAAATTTGGATTTTCGAGTTGCATTGGGTTCCTATATGTTAAATACACATTTCTCCTTCAGGACTCAAGTCCAAATTATGTATAGAAAAAAAAGATACGTGTATTCAGTGTTTTCGCGTTTACTAAATTAACCGAGTCACGGAGATTGGCCTAGATTGTGCATACGACAACGAAATTTGGATTTTCGAGTTGCATTGGGTTCCTATATCATAAATACACATTTCTATTTCAGGACTCAAGTCCAATATATGTATAGAAAAAAAGATACGTGTATTCAGTGTTTTCGCGTTTACTAAATCAACCGAGTCACGGAGATTGACCTAGATTGTGCATACGACAACGAAATTTGGATTTTCGAGTTGCATTGGGTTCCTATATGTTAAATACACATTTCTCCTTCAGGACTCAAGTCCAAATTATGTATAGAAAAAAATGATACGTGTATTCAGTGTTTTCGCGTTTACTAAATTAACCGAGTCACGGAGATTGGCCTAGATTGTGCATACGACAACGAAATTTGGATTTTCGAGTTGCATTGGGTTCCTATATCATAAATACACATTTCTCCTTCAGGACTCAAGTCCAAATTATGTATAGAAAAAAAAAGATACATGTATTCAGTGTTTTCGCGTTTACTAAATTAACCGAGTCACGGAGATTGGCCTAGATTGTGCATACGACAACAAAATTTGGATTTTTGAGTTGCATTGGGTTCCTATATCATAAATACACATTTCTCCTTCAGGACTCAAGTCCAAATTATGTATAGAAAAAAAGATACGTGTATTCAGTGTTTTCGCGTTTACTAAATCAACCGAGTCACGGAGATTGGCCTAGATTGTGCATACGACAACGAAATTTGGATTTTTGAGTTGCATTGGGTTCCTATATGTTAAATACACATTTCTCCTTCAGGACTCAAGTCCAAATTATGTATAGAAAAAAAAAGATACGTGTATTCAGTGTTTTCGCGTTTACTAAATTAACCGAGTCACGGAGATTGGCCTAGATTGTGCATACGACAACGAAATTTGGATTTTCGAGTTGCATTGGGTTCCTATATCATAAATACACATTTCTATTTCAGGACTCAAGTCCAATATATGTATAGAAAAAAAGATACGTGTATTCAGTGTTTTCGCGTTTACTAAATCAACCGAGTCACGGAGATTGACCTAGATTGTGCATACGACAACGAAATTTGGATTTTCGAGTTGCATTGGGTTCCTATATGTTAAATACACATTTCTCCTTCAGGACTCAAGTCCAAATTATGTATAGAAAAAAAAGATACGTGTATTCAGTGTTTTCGCGTTTACTAAATTAACCGAGTCACGGAGATTGGCCTAGATTGTGCATACGACAACGAAATTTGGATTTTTGAGTTGCATTGGGTTCCTATATCATAAATACACATTTCTCCTTCAGGACTCAAGTCCAAATTATGTATAGAAAAAAAGATACGTGTAGTCAGTGTTTTCGCGTTTACTAAATCAACCGAGTCACGGAGATTGGCCTAGATTGTGCATACGACAACGAAATTGGGATTTTTGAGTTGCATTGGGTTCCTATATCATAAATACACATTTCTCCTTCAGGACTCAAGTCCAAATTATGTATAGAAAAAAAGATACGTGTATTCAGTGTTTTCGCGTTTACTAAATCAACCGAGTCACGGAGATTGGCCTAGATTGTGCATACGACAACGAAATTTGGATTTTCGAGTTGCATTGGGTTCCTATATGTTAAATACACATTTCTCCTTCAGGACTCAAGTCCAAATTATGTATAGAAAAAAAAAGATACGTGTATTCAGTGTTTTCGCGTTTACTAAATTAACCGAGTCACGGAGATTGGCCTAGATTGTGCATACGACAACGAAATTTGGATTTTCGAGTTGCATTGGGTTCCTATATCATAAATACACATTTCTATTTCAGGACTCAAGTCCAATATATGTATAGAAAAAAAGATACGTGTATTCAGTGTTTTCGCGTTTACTAAATCAACCGAGTCACGGAGATTGACCTAGATTGTGCATACGACAACGAAATTTGGATTTTCGAGTTGCATTGGGTTCCTATATGTTAAATACACATTTCTCCTTCAGGACTCAAGTCCAAATTATGTATAGAAAAAAAAGATACGTGTATTCAGTGTTTTCGCGTTTACTAAATTAACCGAGTCACGGAGATTGGCCTAGATTGTGCATACGACAACGAAATTTGGATTTTTGAGTTGCATTGGGTTCCTATATCATAAATACACATTTCTCCTTCAGGACTCAAGTCCAAATTATGTATAGAAAAAAAGATACGTGTAGTCAGTGTTTTCGCGTTTACTAAATCAACCGAGTCACGGAGATTGGCCTAGATTGTGCATACGACAACGAAATTTGGATTTTCGAGTTGCATTGGGTTCCTATATGTTAAATACACATTTCTCCTTCAGGACTCAAGTCCAAATTATGTATAGAAAAAAAGATACGTGTATTCAGTGTTTTCGCGTTTACTAAATCAACCGAGTCACGGAGATTGGCCTAGATTGTGCATACGACAACGAAATTTGGATTTTCGAGTTGCATTGGGTTCCTATATCATAAATACACATTTCTATTTCAGGACTCAAGTCCAATATATGTATAGAAAAAAAGATACGTGTATTCAGTGTTTTCGCGTTTACTAAATCAACCGAGTCACGGAGATTGACCTAGATTGTGCATACGACAACGAAATTTGGATTTTCGAGTTGCATTGGGTTCCTATATGTTAAATACACATTTCTCCTTCAGGACTCAAGTCCAAATTATGTATAGAAAAAAATGATACGTGTATTCAGTGTTTTCGCGTTTACTAAATTAACCGAGTCACGGAGATTGGCCTAGATTGTGCATACGACAACGAAATTTGGATTTTCGAGTTGCATTGGGTTCCTATATCATAAATACACATTTCTCCTTCAGGACTCAAGTCCAAATTATGTATAGAAAAAAAAAGATACATGTATTCAGTGTTTTCGCGTTTACTAAATTAACCGAGTCACGGAGATTGGCCTAGATTGTGCATACGACAACAAAATTTGGATTTTTGAGTTGCATTGGGTTCCTATATCATAAATACACATTTCTCCTTCAGGACTCAAGTCCAAATTATGTATAGAAAAAAAGATACGTGTATTCAGTGTTTTCGCGTTTACTAAATCAACCGAGTCACGGAGATTGGCCTAGATTGTGCATACGACAACGAAATTTGGATTTTTGAGTTGCATTGGGTTCCTATATCATAAATACACATTTCTCCTTCAGGACTCAAGTCCAAATTATGTATAGAAAAAAAAGATACGTGTATTCAGTGTTTTCGCGTTTACTAAATCAACCGAGTCACGGAGATTGGCCTAGATTGTGCATACGACAACGAAATTTGGATTTTCGAGTTGCATTGGATTCCTATATCATAAATACACATTTCTATTTCAGGACTCAAGTCCAATATATGTATAGAAAAAAAGATACGTGTATTCAGTGTTTTCGCGTTTACTAAATCAACCGAGTCACGGAGATTGACCTAGATTGTGCATACGACAACGAAATTTGGATTTTCGAGTTGCATTGGGTTCCTATATGTTAAATACACATTTCTCCTTCAGGACTCAAGTCCAAATTATGTATAGAAAAAAATGATACGTGTATTCAGTGTTTTCGCGTTTACTAAATTAACCGAGTCACGGAGATTGGCCTAGATTGTGCATACGACAACGAAATTTGGATTTTCGAGTTGCATTGGGTTCCTATATCATAAATACACATTTCTCCTTCAGGACTCAAGTCCAAATTATGTATAGAAAAAAAAAGATACATGTATTCAGTGTTTTCGCGTTTACTAAATTAACCGAGTCACGGAGATTGGCCTAGATTGTGCATACGACAACAAAATTTGGATTTTTGAGTTGCATTGGGTTCCTATATCATAAATACACATTTCTCCTTCAGGACTCAAGTCCAAATTATGTATAGAAAAAAAGATACGAGTATTCAGTGTTTTCGCGTTTACTAAATCAACCGAGTCACGGAGATTGGCCTAGATTGTGCATACGACAACGAAATTTGGATTTTCGAGTTGCATTGGGTTCCTATATGTTAAATACACATTTCTCCTTCAGGACTCAAGTCCAAATTATGTATAGAAAAAAAAGATACGTGTATTCAGTGTTTTCGCGTTTACTAAATTAACCGAGTCACGGAGATTGGCCTAGATTGTGCATACGACAACGAAATTTGGATTTTCGAGTTGCATTGGGTTCCTATATCATAAATACACATTTCTATTTCAGGACTCAAGTCCAATATATGTATAGAAAAAAAGATACGTGTATTCAGTGT